CCCCCCCATCCCACATTTGTAGAATCCCCCCATCCTAAATTTCTACAATCCCCCATTCCCAGATTTCTACAGTCCCAGATTTCTCCAATCCCAGATTTCTCCAATCCCCCCATCCCAGATTTCTACAATCCCATCCCAAATTTCTGCAATCCCAGATTTCTCCCATCCCAGATTTCTCCAATCCCCCCATCCCAGATTTCTCCAACCCCCCCATCCCAAATTCAAAGAATCCCTCCCTCCCAAATTTCTCCAATCCCTCCATCCCAGATTCCTCCAATCCCAGATCTCTCCCATCCCATTCCCAGATTTCTTCAACCTCCCATCCCAGATTTCTCCAATCCCAGATTCCTCCAATCCCATTTTTCTCCCCTCCCATTCCCAGATTTCTCCAACCCCCCCATCCCAAATTTCTCCCATCCCAGATTTCTCCCATCCCAGATTTCCCCATTCCCAGATTTCTCCCATCCCAGATTCCTCCAATCCCACATTTCTCCCCTTCCCCTTCCCAGATTTCTACAACCCCCGGCGCGATTCCCGCCCCTCCCATCGCTCCGACTGCAACTGCGACCGCTGCTGGGGGAACTGGGGAGACCCGGAGAGACCCCCACAAACACGGCAGGAAGAGGAGGGACCCCCGGGGGAGGAAGGCCCTGAGGAGGAGGAGAGACCCCCAGAGCCGGGGGAGGAAGAGGAGGGACCCCCAGAGCCGGGGGAGGAAGGCCCTGAGGAAAAGGAGGAGGAGGAGGAAGGGGGAGACCCCCAGGGAGAGGAGGAGGAAGGAGGCCCTGAGGAGGAGGAGGAGGAGGGTGGGGAAGATGAAGGCCCCGAGGAGGAGGAGGGAGAGGCCGGGGGGGATGAAGGAGGGGATGAAGGAGGGGACACTGAGTAGGGGGAGGGGCAGACCCCAAGAAGGAGGAGGAGGAGGAGATGAAGGCCCTGAGGAGGAGGAGGGAGGAGGGGACAGTGAGTAGGGGGAGGGCAGACCCCGAGGAGGAGGAGGAGGAGGAGGAAGAAGGGGGAGACCCCCAGGAAGAGGAGGGAGAAGCCAAGGAGGAGGAGGAGGAGGAGGGAGAAGGTGAGGAAGAGGAGGGAGAAGCCGAGGAAGGAGGCCCCAAGGAGGAGGAGGAGGAGGAGGAGGGTGGGGGAGATGAAGGCCCCAAGGAGGAGGAAGAGGATGGAGAGGCCGGGGGGGATGAAGGAGGGGACAGCGAGTAGGGGGAGGGGCAGACCCTGAGGAGGAGGAGGAGGAAGAGGAAGGGGGAGACCCCCAGGAAGAGGAGGAGGAGGAGGAAGAGGAGGAGGAAGGAGGCCCCAAGGAAGAGGAAAAGGAGGAGGAGGAAGAGGAGGAGGAGGAAGAAGGAGGTGAGGAAGAGGAGGGAGAACCTGAAGAAGGAGGCCCCGAGGAGGAGGAGGAGGAAGGAGGCCCCGAGGCGGAGGAGGGTGGGGGAGATGAAGGCCCCGAGGAGGAGGAGGAAGAAGAGGACAGTGAGTAGGGGGAGGGGCAGACCCCAAGGAGGAGGAGGAGGAGGAAGAGGAAGAGGAGGAGGAGGAGGAGGAAGGGGGAGACCCCCAGGAAGAGGAGGGAGAAGCTGAGGAGGAGGAGGAGGAGGAGGAGGAGGAGGGGGGTGGTGAGGAAGAGGACGGAGACCCTGAAAAGGAGGAGGAAGGTGATGAAGATGATGATAAAGGTGAAGACGATGATGATGAGGAAGATGATGATGAAGATGAAAAGGAGGAGGAGGAGGATGATGATGATGAGCAATAAGACGACAAGGAGGACAAAGATGATGAGGAGGAAGAGGAGGAGGAAGAAAATGATGATGATGAAGACGATGATGATGATGATGATAAACAATAAAACGATGAAGACGAAGATGATGATGAAGATGATCATGATGAGGAAGGCGATGATGATGAAGATGATGACGAGCAATAAGATGATGAGGAAGATGAAGATGATGATGAGGAGAAGGAAGATGATGGTCATGATAAGGAAGACGATGATGATGATGAAGATGATGATGAGCAATAAGATGATGAGGAAAATGAAGATGATGAGAAGGAAGAAGATGATCATGATGAAGATGACGATGATGATGAAGATGATGATGAACAATAAAACGATGAAGACGAAGATGATGATGATGAGGAAGATGATGATGAGGAAGATGTTGATGATGAAGATGATGATGAGGACAACAATGATGAGGAGGAGGAAGAAGACGATGAGGAGGAAGATGATGATCAACAAGATGACAAGGAAGATGAAGAGGAGGAGGAGGAGGAGGAGAAAGAAGATGATCATGAGGAGGAAGATCATGATGAAGAAAATGATGAGGAAGATGAGGATGAGGATGAAGACGAGGAGGAGGAAGATGAAGACCCATTTTGGGCCACCCCCCCCAACCACGCCCCCCGGAGCCCCCCGAGCCTTCCTCCCCTCCCCTGCCCTCCCCCCTCCCCCTCCCCCAATAAACCTTCGGCCTCAGCACCCGCTGCAGCTTTAATGGGGGCGGGGCCACCCCGCTAACGAGGGGCCCCTAACGAACCGACCCGGGGGGGGAGGGGAGGGGACCCCCAATGTCCTGGGGGGGGGGAGGGGAGGGGTGGGGTGTCCCAAAGTCCGGGGGCACCTGAGGGGCCCATTTTGGGGTCACCGGGAGCGCCGGGACCCCCTTGATGGCCAACGGTCAACGGCGAACCCCCGATGGCCAACGGTCAACTTTGGGGGTCCTCCTTGACCGGGACCCCCCCGATGGCCAATGTCCAACCTTGGAGAGTCTTCGTTGATCGGGACCCCCCCGATGGCCAACATCCAAATTTGGGGGGTCTTGGTTGACCGGGACCCCCCCAATGGCCAACGTCCAACTTTGGGGGGTTCTCCTTGACCGGGACCCCCCCAATGGCCAACGTCCAACTTTGGGGGGTTCTCCTTGACCGGGACCCCCCCATGGCCAACGTCCAACCTTGGGGGTCCTCCTTGATCTTCACCCCCCCGATGGCCAACGTCCAACCTTGGGGGGTCTCCAAGAGCACCTCGACCCCGATGTCCAGTTTTGGGGGTCTCCAGGTGCCCCTTGACCCCCACAATGATTAAAGTCCAATTTTGGGGGGGTCCTTCTTGACCTTGACCCCCACGATGATCAATGTCCAATTTGGGGGTTTCTCCTTGACCTTGATGATCAACGTCCAACTTTGGGGGTCTCCAGGAGCTCCTTGACCCCCACGATGATCAAAGTCCAATTTGGGGGGTTCTCCTTGACCTTGATCACCAACATCCAACTTTGGGGGTCTCCAGGAGCCCCTCAACCCCAATGTCTGATCTGGGGGGTTCTCCTTGACCTTGATGACCAACGTCCAACTTTGGGGGTCTCCAGGAGCTCCTTGACCCCCACAATGATCAAAGTCCAATTTTGGGGGGGTTCTCCTCGACCTTGACCCCCACCATGATCAAAGTCCAATTTTGGGGTTTCTCCTTGACCTTGATGACCAACATCCAACTTTGGTGTTTCAACTGGAGCACCTCGACCCCAATGTCCAACCTTGAAGGTTCTCCAAGAGCTCCTCAACCCCAGTGTCCAACTTTGGGGGTCTCCAGGAGCTCCTTGACCCCCACATGATCAAAGTCCAATCTGGGGGGTTCTCCTTGACCTTGATCACCAACGTCCAACTTTGGGGGTCTCCAGGAGCTCCTTGACCTTGATGACCAACGTCCAACTTTGGTGTTTTGACTGGAGCACCTTGACCCCAACGTCCAACTTCGGGGGTCTCCAGGAGCTCCTTGACCCCCACAATGATCAAAGTCCAATTTGGGGGGTTCTCCTTGACCTTGACCCCAATGTCCAACTCTGGGGGTCTCCAGGAGCCCCTCAACCCCCAGGTCCAACTTTGGAGCTCTTCAGGAGCTCCTTGACCCCCACGATGATCAAAGTCCAATTTGGGGGTTTCGCCTTGACCTTGATGACCAACGTCCAACTCTGGGGGTCTCCAGGAGCTCCTTGACTCCCACAATGATCAAAGTCCAATTTGGGGGGTTCTCCTTGACCTTGATCACCAACATCCAACTTTGGGGGTCTCCAGGAGCTCCTTGACCCCCACAATGATCAAAGTCCAATTTTGGGGGGGTTCTCCTTGACCTTGACCCCCACCATGATCAAAGTCCAATTTTGGGGGTTCTCCTTGACCCTGACAAAGGTTCTCCAGGAGCCCCCCGACCCCAACGTCCCACTTTGGTTCTTCTCCTTTGGTTTCTCCTCCATCTCGTCGACCGAACCCCGACTCTGGGGGGGTCTCTCCCGTCCCCCCCCTCGGCCCCGGGGGGTTCTGGGGCCCCGGGGGGGTCTGTCCCGTCCCCCCCCCGGCCCTGGGGGGTTCAGGGGCCCCGGGTCAGATGCGGAAGCTCTCGGCTTTGCCGTCGATGTGGCGCAGCCGCAGGTAAACGTCGGTGCCCACCCCCTGCAGCGACTGCAGCACCAGGGACCCCCCCAGGTACTCGGCGTAGGCCCGAGACGTCGGCAGCCCGAACCCAAACCTGGGGAGGGGGCAAAAAATCAGATAAACCCCCCTAGAGATCCCCCAAAACCCCCAAGACCCCCCCAGGTACTCGGTGTAGGCCCGAGACGTCGGCAGCCCCA